GCGACCGGCCTCCCTGCTAGGGACACACGGGTGGGGGGGGCCTGAGCAGGGCAGGTGGGATCCCGGTCTCTGAGCCTCAGTTTGCTCATCCGTGCTAGCAGCTGGGCTGAGGCAGGAAGGGAAGGGCTCCCTCAGCTTCCTCCCCAGGGCCCAGCCTTCCTGTTCTGCCACTTCTAGGGGAATTGAAGGCCGACCGAGCTTGGGGGGGGGGGCTTCCAGGCTCACTGGTGACCCAGTTCCCTTATGCCCAAATGGGGCAGGGCCTGCCCAGCCCCCTCACTTGGGGCCGGGAGGGCCTCTGGGCCCCTGGCAGTGCACAGAGCAGCCTCTACTAGACCTGCCTGGCGGTGGCCTCTGCAGCACAGCCCAGGGCCGCCGCCCAGTCTCCACGAACGTGCACACCTCCTGCGCCACTCCCCACCCTGGCACGCACGTGCGGTCCCCAGGCAGGATCGTGGTGGGGCACGAACCTGCGCCAGGGCCTCTATGCTACACACACGGCCCTCTACCTGGGCACGCGTGTGCAGATCATGGGCCCATCCACAGGGACCAGACTCACACTGCTCCAGGGAACACACACGTGTGTGTTGACGGCACCTGCGATTCTGGACACATGGAGACCCACACGCACTCAGACTCCCACAGCTACAGAATGCACACGCGCTCCCACGCAGCCAGTGCTCACGCACATGCAGCTCTGACCCAGGCCCGGCCCAGCCCCAGTGCTATTCTGGGCCGGGACTGGGGCCAACGAGGTCAGGGACAGCCGGTTCCCAGCAGGCCCTGCTGCTGTGTCCCAGGCCCCAGCCATGTCGCTCCGTGCCCTGCCCTGCCCCAGGCCGAGTCCAGGCCTGGGACCCCAGCCTGATTTTGTGAATGGGAGGGGTCCCCCCTGGAGCTGAAACTTAAACTCCAGGGTGTCAGGCTTTGAGAGAGACCTGGCCTCTGGCCCCTGCCCGACGTCTTGCCCACAGTTCCAGCCCAGAGGCTCTGGAGGCTGCACTGGGTCCCTCCAGGAAACACACAGGCACTAAAAATAGCACAGGTCTGAGCAGGGTCCTGCAGGCCAGCATTCACGCCACCACACGGGGCAGGCCACAGTCTCCTGGGGGCCACGGCGTCCATGTGGGGGCTTCACAAGAAGCCGAAACAGTGCTGGGTGGAGGGCAGAGCCCTGGGTTGGAGGCAGAAGACTGAGGGGGAGGCCCCAGTTCCTGTGTGACTTCAGTAAGGTGCAGCCCCTCTCTGGGCTTCAATTCCGCGGAGTGAACGGGAGAGTGAGTCACACTGAATGTCGGAAGGCCCGTCAGGGTGGAAGAGACCAGCTTTCCAGATGTTCACCTGAGCTCAGGGCTTGATGTGGAGAACGGGAGACCGCTTAAACGCCCAACCATAGTCACCCCAACAGGGTCCTCATGCCACCACCCACGTCGGCCCAGCCAGCCCAGATCATGGGTGGGACACACATGTCCGATATGCAGAGAGAGGCCCTGGGATGCAAACCCAAGACCCCGTACATGTGGGTGCGGCTGTCCACGACAACGCCACCACCTGGCCAATTCTGTGGATTTAGAGTAATTTTTAAATTATTTCGGTCAGATTTTGCATCTTTAGGAGGTAAAAAGGAAATTTCTTTCTTTCTTTATTTAAGACATTTTCCATAGGGCATGTGTACTTGAGAAACAGAGACAGAGAGAGGGAAAGTGAGAAATCGCCCCCTGGGGGATGGTTACCCACAATCCCTTCTCCTCCATTCCCTTGCTGGGATTTTGGGCATGCATATACCTGCTCCCAGTATGATTTTCTTATTTTTCTTTAAAAAATTATTTAATTTTATTCCTTGCCATTATTTTATTCTATTCTTTGAAATCGACCAGAGGGAGACAGAGAGAGAGAAAAGGAAAGCAAACTGCCAGACCCGGGACTCGTACCGCGGTCAGCCATGTGGGAGTCCAGCCACCTGCTGGCCCCCGTTTCTTTCTTTTTTTTTTTTTTAAGAGAGATTTTTGCTATAGGGCACGTGCACTCCCAGAGGGACAGAGAGAGACAGAGAGACAGAAAGCGAGAAGTCACCCCCTGGGGAGATGGCCATGCTGCAATCCCTTCTCCTCCATTCTCCTCTTGGGATCTTGGGCACGCACGCACACATATCGGGTGTGAGTTTTAAGCCGCCGGGTCTGGGACTCAGACTGTAGTCAACTACGTGGGAGTCTGGGAACATAACCATTATGCCATCTACTGCCCCCCCTCCCCATGTGATTTTCAAGTCACCTGGTCTGGCCAGGTGTCAGCCATGACGGAGTCCAACACTGTAGCCACTAGTGCTGTAACCACTACGCCACCTGCTGGCCCCCCGAAACGGAATTTGTCTTTCTTTTTTTAGAGAAGTTTTTGCTATAGGGTGCATGTGCTTGCCAGAGAGACAGAGACAGAGACAGAAAGTGAGAAATCACCCCCCAGGGGGATGTCCACACTGTAATCCCTTCTCCTCCGTTCTCCTCTTGGGATTTTGGGCATGCACGCACACGTATCTGACACGTTTTAAGCCACAATGTCTGGGACTTGAACCTCGGCCAACCATGTGGGAGTCCAGCGATGTAACTATTATGCCATCCGCTGGTCCCTTAAAAAATTATTTATTTAATTTTATTCATTATCATTATTATTTTTTAATTTGACCAGAGAGAGAGAAAGTAGGAAAGAGGGCTGCCAGGTCCGTACTCGAACCATGGTTGGCCATGTGGGAGTCCAGCACCTTAACCACCACAGCCCCCACAACGGAAATTTAAATACTTAAACTTTCAAATGAAGTCTCTTGTAGCTTTGTACTTCTGAAGCTAATAAAGCTTAAAGCTGCACTAAGGCTTCCAGAACAGCTATTTTAAGAATGAGCCAGTGCTGGGTGCCAGCCTGCAGGGAGCAGAAGCTCCGGTGGGGAAGTGGCCGGGTCGGAACGTGAGGACACATCTGAACATTTTACTGTTCTTTTTAGATTTCTTCTCTGAGCTTGGCCTACTTCCTCCTTTATTATTATTATTGTTATTTTTTTAATGCCAGGGGATACATGTGAACGCAAGAGAGAGCCAGAACGCGTGGGGCCTGGTCAGGCCGAAATCCTTATTCCTCCAGTTTTTCATCCCTGCAGGCTCCTGGCACACACACTTGCCCAGTGTATTTTTAAGCTTCTTTGAGATTTGAACTGCAATCAAGCACATAGGATCCAATGTCCTCTGGACAGTGCTTAACTGCTGCACTATGGGGCCAGCCCCTTTTAAAAAACAATTTGGGGAATGGGACCAGCAGATGGCACAATGCTTACATCGCTGGACTCCCACATGGCTGATCGAGGTTCGAATCCCAGACTCAGAGACTTGAAACTCACACCAGGTGCATGTGCATGTGTGCCCAAAATCCCGAAAGGAGAATGATTCCTTGCTTTTCGTCTCTGTCTCTCTGGTGAGTGCACGTGCCCTATTAGCAAACATCTCTCTTTCTCAAAAAACAAAACAAAACAATTTGAGGGGCTGGGAGGTGACATAGTGAAGGCGCTAGATTCCCACATGGTTGACCTCAGTTCGGGTCCCAGATCTGGTGGCTTGCTTTCTCGCTTCTCCCCCACCCCCGGTCAAATTAATAATAGTAATAATAATAAATAAAATTAAAATAACTCATTAAAAAAACTTTAAACAAAAATTTTTGGCCACAGAGAGCATGCAGTTGCCAGAGAGAAAGTGAAAAAGCATCCCCCATGGGGAATGGTCACTTCACAACCCCTTCTCCGTTTCTCCCAACTTTAGAGATTTGGGGCACACGCGCATGCGTGCATACATACATGCCTGGCATGTTTCTCAAGCTGCGGGGTCCAAGACTCGAATGACATGGTGGTCATACAGGACCCAGCCAACCTAGCCACCATGCCCCTGCTGGCCCTAAAACAGTGTTTTTGAAGTTTATTTCTTTCCGGGGCCAGCGGGGGCACAGTGATTAAGGTCCTGCACTCCCGTGTGGCCGACTGCATTTCGAGTCTTGGACTCCGTGGCCTGAAAATCACACTGAGCACATGTGCGTCCGTGTCTAAAATCCGGAGAGGACAATGGAGGAGAAGGGACTGCAGCATGGCCATGTCCCCTCGGGTGATTTCTCACTTTCCCTCTCTCTGTCTCTGTCCAGTGAGCACAGGTGCCCTATCGCAAAAACCTAAAAATAACCTCTTCTCCTTGAGGGAAAAAAGGAGACAGAGACCGAGAGAGGGCCAGAGAGACAACACCCCTAAGTCTCGATGTTGTGACCAACCTCGAGCCTCAGCCAGCCCCGACATGGGCATGGCCATGCTCGGGGGATTCAGGGAGGTCTCCAGATGCAAACCTGGAACTTTCCCACGCTGGGCAGCCCCACAGAGGGTCACGTTTTACTGCTGCGCCACTGTTCGGCCCCCTGACCCCACTTGTTGATAGACAGAACACGCTAATGCCCCCAGCCTGGGCTGGGCTGTGGGCTGGAGCCCCATAAGCAGCAGGGGCTGCCCATGCCACCTGGAAGAGCCAGGCGACCTTTCTCATCCGGGGACCCCTACTTGAGCTCCGCATGGGCTGAGGAAGTAGAGGCGAGAGCAGGCATGGTTTGCCTGGTCAGGTTCACTTATTTAACCAGCCTGCTCCGGCCTCTCTGACCCCATGTCCCGACAGCGACCTCCCTGGATGGTCAGTGTGGTTTCCCAAGCCTGGCCTGTGACCCATGACATGAGGAAGTGGCTGGGGGAGAGTTGTGGTCAGCGAGTGATCAGGGCCTTTGTGGACTTCCTGTTTGCCTGGCCAGGGCCCACCTAGGGGGATGAGACGGCCCAGCCCACACAGCCCCCAGACTTGGCCTCCACCGTGGAGGGTCCCCTCAGTGGATGCCCTGAGCCCGCTGTCCTTTGCCGGCAGGTCTCCTGCCCTGTCATCTGCACGCCCCGCGGCCTGCAGAGTTCTGCGCTGGTCCTCTGCTCCTCCGCTGCCTCCTGTGTCCTCGCCCAGCTGCGGCACCTGCAGGCCGAAGGCCCAGGAGGCTCTGACCCACAAGCCCCAGCTCTTCGGCAAGGACTTGCTGGGGGAACCAGGCCACGCAAGTCTGGACAGGTCTCACTGGTGTCCTGGGTGACCAGGGCTGCTTCTCCCAGTCACAGAAGGAAGGAAAGGCGGGAGCCCGGGGTGGGCAAAGGTGTCTCCAGGCCTCCCCACACCTCTTCCTGAGTTTTCCACTCCTCCCCAGGGGTCCGAAGCACCTCAAAACCTCCCTCCACAGGCCAGCAGGTGGCATGGTGGTTAAGGCGCTGGACTCCCACATGACTGACCGCCGTTCAAGTCCTGGACCTGGCGGCTTGCTTTCTCACACTCTCTCTCTTACTGGTGAGTGTGCATGCCCTGTTGCAAAGTAAAAAATAATAATGATGATAAATAAAATAAAATAAATAAAAATAAATGTCCCTTCACCCCTGCGTGGTCAGTGTTGTATATGGGGTCAGGACCAGCTTGTGAGGTCAAGGGGACCGCTCAGATGCAAGTCAGCCAGGGTCAGAACAGGTCCTCCAGCCCCTCTGGGGACAGCCTACCCTGTCCTGGGGGCGGAAGACTCGGGGGTCCCTTGGGAACCTTCCTGAGCTCCAGCATGGCTGACCTTATCGTCCCCAGCCCCCACCCTCCTCTCGGCTCTGGTGTCCAGGGTGACCAGAGCTGCCTCTGGGCAGGAAGCCAGCCCAGCTAGCCCAGGACATCCCTGAGCGCCTGTCACCATGGCAACCCCCGCTGCGCTCCCCCCCACCCCAAGTCCAGTACTTTTTTCAAATGCAGAACGTCAGAACGAGAAGGGGAAGGGCTGCCTGGATCAGCAGACTCCCGCCCCTCCCCTCGTCCCAGATGGAGAAACTGAGTCTCGGCGGGGAGGGGAAGGGGACCTGTTGGTTAAGGACCCGCGCCCAGCCTGCCCTCCCTGCTACGCACCCCAGCTCAGTGTGCGGGCGAGCGGGGTCTGGAGTGCGATCTCCGGCAGGGCGGGCCTTCCTATCCTGAGAGGCAAATGGAGGAGAAGGGATTGCAGCATGACCATCTCCCTTGGGGGTCATTTCAGGCGCGGGGCCCCTCTGGGCGCTGGGCGGTGCCGTGCTGGGGGTTTGCCTCGCGGGGGTCGCCGGGCAGCTGGTGGAGGTGAGGTGCGGCCGTGCGGCGGGGGCAGAGGGCTCTGGTGGCTGTCCACCCGCGGTCCACCCAGGCAGGGGCTGGGAGCGCCTCCTCCCTGCCCTAGGACACCCGGCCTGGCGGCATTGCCTGGGGATCCCAGCTCTCACCCTTAGGGTCCCTGGTCTGATGGGCATCCTCCCATTCCCGGAACATTCACGGTCATCATCAGGATCCCAGTCTGACCCGGTGGCGCAGTCCCTCCCTGGTGGGTCTCACTGGAAGGGGATGCTCAGCCCCTGGCTTCCTGGTCCCCCAGTCTGAGGGGCGGATCTAGACCCTGAACTCAGGGTCTTCTGCAGGGAACAGCCTCTGCCCCCAGGGATCCTCCAGAGACCCTGTGGGATGGGGCAGGGTAGCCTTGGGTGATCCAGGGTGGAGGGGGGACAGCAGGTTGAGGAGAGGGTGGGAGGGCAGGGCCGGGGCTGGGGTGGGGGTCTGTCTGACCCAGTCCTGGTGAGGATGCCGAGCATTTAAAGGTTTCAGGGCAGGCAGAAGGGGCAAGGAAGGCCCGGGTGGCTGGTCAGGGTCTTGGCTGAGCTTGGAGGTGGGGCGGGACGTGGGTCCCTCTGTCCCCACTCCTGCTGTGCCTGGATGGGGCCCTGGGTGGAGGCAGTAGAGCAGATCTAGAATTCTGGGCCGTGAGGAGAAGGCCCAGAACCAGGGCTAGGGAGAAGTGGGGGTGGGGCCTGTGCAGGCAGGGGCAGGGAGGAGGGGGCAGGTCGGAGCAGAGAGGACAGGCTGAGCAGGGAGGTCAGGCCATGCAGGCAGCAGGCAGAGCCCTGAACGGAGGGTCTGAGGGAGGCCGGACAGAGCCTGCACCCTGATAGTCTGTCCCTGCTGCTGCTGACCAGGGGGCGTGGCCGGGGGCTGTCTGGCGTCTGGTGTCGGCTCGGGTGGCCCTGTATGGGAGCCAGGCTGGCGCGAGCCCCTGGTGGTGGCGCACACTCATGCTCAGGCCCCTTGCTGCCATCCCAAGGCCTTGGGTACAGGCACTGAGCTGGCCTGGGTGCAGGCAGAGGCCAGGGAGGACGGGGGCGGTTGAGCCAGTTGGCCCAGCTCAGCCAGGGACATGGCATTTGGCGTCCATCCACCCCCATCTGCCCCCAGCCTGAGCAAGGCCCTAGCCCTGCCCTCCAGGGAAACACTGGAGAGACGCCTGGGCTGGGGCTGGAGTCACCACCTACCCCAGCTCTGCAGGTGTCGCCCACCATGGCCGTGAGGCTCCAAAGGAGGCAGGGGACTCCGAGATTTCCAAATCAGACCCCCAGCAGGGCCCATCATAGGGGTCCCCTGATAGGAGATGCCTGGCTGTTCCCTGCCACCTTCCCTGCCTACCAGGAGTGAGGGGGGCCCAGCCCCAGCCACAGCAAGCCCAGCAGGAGCGCATGAGCCCACGCTGCCTTGGCCCAGAATCGGACTTGACTTTGTCCCTCAGAGTCTAGCAGTCACTCAGCCCTGTGGGCCAACACACAGACCTCAGATTTAGGGACCCCTACCACTGCCAAGATCTGACCCTGATGCCATAGACACGTGCCTGACCACATCCACGTGTGCCCCAGCCACACATGTGCCCAGTACCACGTGTTCCCCGATCTCGCGTATATGTCTGACCACACGTTCTCCCAGGGGACGACACCGAGGAATGGTGTCTTATCTGGGTAGAGAGAGCACCTTGGGGACTCCCGGACCTGCCCTACTTAGTTATCGATGGAGAAACTCAGGCTCCCACCCTAGTGCGCCCTGGCATAAAGAGCCGGGGAGTCATGTACCGGCCTAAGGCACAGATTCTTGGGGTGATCTGGGACAGGCCACTGGTCCTCTCTGAGTGTCTCCGACCATCCTGAAGACGAGCGTCCCTTGGATGAGCGAGTGTCTAGCTCCTGGAAAGGCCTGATCCATGAACGGCCAAGGGTGAGAGCGGGCAGATGGCTGAGTTACAGAGAGCCGGAGGGCCTGAGTGCCTGGCCTTGGCTGATCAGGAAACAGTGCATGGCACAGACCCCGGGGTCCGCTCTCCCTCTGGGCACTGACTCCCACCCTGGCCCCTCTGTCGAACTTGATCACGTCCCTTGCTGGTCAGACACAGGTGTTACTGATTACATGAGGCAGAGCTGTGGCTCTAGATAGCCAGGAAAAGCCCATGTCCCCAAGTCCCTGGGAAGCCATGACCCTTCATTCCCCCAGGACCTGGGAAGGTGGGAGGTGGCAGGCAGTGCTCTGCTCGGGCTTGCTGCAGCTGCACTGACATCTTTTGGCCTGCAGGTGTCACTATTGCGTCGTGGGCAATTGATCTCCTGGCCTGTGGGTACTCTGGCCTCCACGAGGCCACCTGGTGGCGGGCCCTGACTCCCAGCTCCACCTCCCCGCCCCATGGAGAGATGAGCAAGCAAAGCGAATCCCCGCCCAGTGTCTTGAAAAACACATTTAGCATCAACCTACCACGAGGGCTGTGCCTGAAGGGGCGTCCCGCCCGCTGGGACTGGGGTCCAGTTTGCGCCTCTAGGCTTTGGATAACGGCTCCGTCTAGCGTGTTGGGTGTAAGATGCTTCACGGCAGGTGATTCTGGAATGCTCCGGCTAAGTCCTTGCAGAGACCCAGGCCCCTCGCCCCAGCCCCAGTGCACCGACCTCTGCCTGCCTCATGCTGCTTCCTCCTGGTCCGCAGCCCAGCACGGCCCCGCCGAAGCCCAAGCCGCCCCCGCTGACCAAGGAGACAGTGGTGTTCTGGGACATGCGCCTGTGGCACGTGGTGGGCATCTTCTCGCTCTTCGTGCTGTCCATCAGTGAGTAGCGCGCCCCGCCCCCTCTGCCGCGGGAGCACCGCCCCCAGCGCCCTTGACTCCGCCCCCGGCACCACCTCCGCGGGCTCAGAGCAACAATTCCGGGCAGCGCTACTCCGCTAGACGCCCGCAGGAGGCCCTCCGTGGTTTCTGGCACCTCCTGATCCACACCAAGTCCCCAAGGGGGGGCTGACGGGCCAATAGTGACCCGGAGCATTCTGCCGGACCCGGGGAGCCAGCCACATGGCAATTATGGTAATTACAGGGGACTCCACTGAACGAGGACGAGAAGGACGTGTCATTTTTCCCTGCGGCTGGTCTCCTGATGCTTTTCCTGCAGTTTGGCCAGCTGAAAGGGCCCACACCCAGGGCCCCAAAGAAGCCACTTCCACCAGGGCGCCCCAGACACCCAGCAGATGTGGCCTCCAACCCCGCCTTGTCCAATAGCATCCCCTGGGAATGACTCACGCCCGCCTCAATTAAAAGCAGACTGTCCCTCTCCTGGGTCTGGGAGCTTGGTGCAAAGTCCCAGCAGAAACAGCTGGCAGCCCTTCCCACAGCCCGCCTCCCGGAATGGGGGGCTGGGACAGAAGGTCACGTGTAAACCCGGCCAGGTTGGGGCGGCTGCTGAGGCCTGGAGCAGTCCCACAGAGGGTCCCACCAGGCAAAGGAGGGTGCTGGGTGCTGGCGGTGGGAGAGGAAGCCCATTCCTTTTGCTAACATTTCATAGGAGAGGGGTTCGCTGCTTTGCTAGAGCTGTGGCTCTAGATAGCCAGGAAAAGCCCATGTCCCCAAGTCCCTGGGAAGCCATGACCCTTCATTCCCCCAGGACCTGGGAAGGTGGGAGGTGGCAGGCAGTGCTCTGCTCGGGCTTGCTGCAGCTGCACTGACATCTTTTGGCCTGCAGGTGTCACTATTGCGTCGTGGGCAATTGATCTCCTGGCCTGTGGGTACTCTGGCCTCCACGAGGCCACCTGGTGGCGGGCCCTGACTCCCAGCTCCACCTCCCCGCCCCATGGAGAGATGAGCAAGCAAAGCGAATCCCCGCCCAGTGTCTTGAAAAACACATTTAGCATCAACCTACCACGAGGGCTGTGCCTGAAGGGGCGTCCCGCCCGCTGGGACTGGGGTCCAGTTTGCGCCTCTAGGCTTTGGATAACGGCTCCGTCTAGCGTGTTGGGTGTAAGATGCTTCACGGCAGGTGATTCTGGAATGCTCCGGCTAAGTCCTTGCAGAGACCCAGGCCCCTCGCCCCAGCCCCAGTGCACCGACCTCTGCCTGCCTCATGCTGCTTCCTCCTGGTCCGCAGCCCAGCACGGCCCCGCCGAAGCCCAAGCCGCCCCCGCTGACCAAGGAGACAGTGGTGTTCTGGGACATGCGCCTGTGGCACGTGGTGGGCATCTTCTCGCTCTTCGTGCTGTCCATCAGTGAGTAGCGCGCCCCGCCCCCTCTGCCGCGGGAGCACCGCCCCCAGCGCCCTTGACTCCGCCCCCGGCACCACCTCCGCGGGCTCAGAGCAACAATTCCGGGCAGCGCTACTCCGCTAGACGCCCGCAGGAGGCCCTCCGTGGTTTCTGGCACCTCCTGATCCACACCAAGTCCCCAAGGGGGGGCTGACGGGCCAATAGTGACCCGGAGCATTCTGCCGGACCCGGGGAGCCAGCCACATGGCAATTATGGTAATTACAGGGGACTCCACTGAACGAGGACGAGAAGGACGTGTCATTTTTCCCTGCGGCTGGTCTCCTGATGCTTTTCCTGCAGTTTGGCCAGCTGAAAGGGCCCACACCCAGGGCCCCAACTAAGCCACTTCCACCAGGGCGCCCCAGACACCCAGCAGATGTGGCCTCCAACCCCGCCTTGTCCAATAGCATCCCCTGGGAATGACTCACGCCCGCCTCAATTAAAAGCAGACTGTCCCTCTCCTGGGTCTGGGAGCTTGGTGCAAAGTCCCAGCAGAAACAGCTGGCAGCCCTTCCCACAGCCCGCCTCCCGGAATGGGGGGCTGGGACAGAAGGTCACGTGCACACCCCGCCAGGTTGGGGCGGCTGCTGAGGCCTGGAGCAGTCCCACAGAGGGTCCCACCAGGCAAAGGAGGGTGCTGGGTGCTGGCGGTGGGAGAGGAAGCCCATTCCTTTTGCTAAGGTTTCATAGGAGAGGGGTTCGCTGCTTTGCTGACCCAGGTGCCGCTGGA